GCCGATATACCCAGACAATCGGCGGTTCCAATATATTAGAAGTTACATCTTGAGTTCTATAATGCATTGAGGTAGGTATCTTAAGTGTAAGGGGCGTAGATAATTCTCCCAAGTTGTAATCGTACAGGCAAATGAATGCGCTCAGTGCAGGACTATAGTCCGGGAACGGGATAATCAAAGAGGTGTTCATTATAGAGTTGTGCCAGCATATCAAAGTGCTCATTATATAAATATACTGTACAGTGAAACCATATGCAAGTTGAACACCTTTATTACCTCAGAATGGTTTTCTACTTCAAGCTGTACCAATAAGACAGGTTCATGTTACATTTAGTTAAAGGTAGCATTGTTCTACTTATAATTGGCTGGTGTTTCACTTACTCACATAAAGATTTCAACTTTACATGTTTAACTGTATATTTATACAACGTGTGTCAAAGGTATTCTATTTGTATACTACCCTTTGAATTCATTCAACTTAGTTTCATCTTCTCTCTTTCAGTTCACAATAATTCTCTGAACTCACCAAGCCAATCAGAGTTTGTCATTGAAATATGGATGACTGGTCATTTCCTCCGACATCAACACATCGCAAGAGCATGCATTTAGCATGTGTTCCTTCAAGCTCACTGATTGGTCGAGAATAGGTTAGCAGAGTAGGTTTGAAATGCTTATGATCCAGGCAGTCACAGGCACCAGTAGTGTGGGTGGGGCTGCTTAACTGTAATATAGTCTATACTAGGCAGAGGGTAGTTTTTACTAGACTAGTCTATTTTTACGTATGTTCTACTGTATTTTGTATGAGGTTGCATGTCACAAAGTAATCAGCTGTACCTGACATATGGTACTCAGTCTTATTATGACCATGTGATGTGATACACTCTAGGTGCATCTAAAAACAACATTAACATTTAACTAGATTCAATGTTATGATGGCAGGGTTCACTTCTAAGGTTAACTATTTGATTGCCACAACTTAACATATTGACATTCAGTATGTTGCCTAATAGGCAATCTATTTCATTGCCAATAGCAAAAAGTGGGTGCTCCCCAGATTCTAATTGCTTGGCGCTCTCCCTGCTCACTCAATTTACCCCACCCTGTTCCCCCCTGCTTGCTTCACTTGTTCCCCCCTTGTTGCTTCACCCCCTTGTCCCCCCCCCCTGCTTGCTTCACCCGCCCAGGGTCCTCAATATAATCATAAACAGGCCAAGGGAAGAAGTCTTTGATTTTAAGGCAGCATGGGGTGACATGAACCCCAGAAGATACAGGGACAGGAGGCTTTAAGGAAACTGAACAATGAACACTACAATAATATTATCATGAATTATTCTTAGATAAAGGTTTTCTAAATGAGATTTGGTGTGTTTATTTGATTGGTGCGAAAAAAATCCCCCCTGCTATGAAAAAAATCCTGGGGAGATCACTGTGTGATGTACTCTAGGATTGGCATTTAAATTTAATGTAATTAAGTGATATATTTCTTCCCAGAGAGATCTTCCTCAAGAAAATAGGAATTATCAATAGACATCCATGCATTATCTCACACATAACTATAAACAGATGCTGAGAACCTTTGAAAAATAGAACAAAAAGAGAAATGACATTTTCTGGTGAATTCCTTCTATTGTAGATTGTTTATCACATTTCTTAATACATGCAGAATAGAATATATGCATTGTTCCAATTGTTTCTGGTTCAAGAAAACAAATAAATCAGTTGCAAAGATATGATATTTTTATATATGAAACATATGGTTCAAATCAACACTTTAATTTAAGATCATGAAATAATATTTGTTTGTTTCATGTGGTACATTTGTATATCATAAAAATTCTCATGCACACTCACTAAGTTTAAAGTCATAAATAAGAAGGATAATACATATACATGTAGTTTAAAGTCATGACATAGCATAATCAGAGTTACCAGTCAACAAGCTTTACGGGAAAATAAAAAAGTAATATTACCAATCATTTAATCTATATAAACATCCCTACATATAATAACTGAGGTCATTGCGACCATATACACCAACACTTTGTCATAACACGTGAAGAACGAAGGAATGGGCAAATTACTTAATCATTAGGTATATGGAAATAGTAGTTTGATTTAATCTTCAAGAATAATTATATTCCCATATAAATCTTTAATAATAAGTTTGGCCTAATGTTACCATGTCAACAACACCTACATTCTATTGAGGTAAACATTGCATTTGATAAACAACATCAATCATAGCAAAGTACTAATGCTATTAATATTAAATCATATGAAATAATAATACTGGAATTTAATGCTTTTTTATAGTTGTTGGTTGGAAAGCAAATATTCCCTTTTTACCCTCAAAAACGGGTATTCCCTCACAGCAGGAGTATGGGGTACAGTTAAACCAGTAATGTTAAACCAGTAATGTTAAATGACTAATGTTAAACCAGTAAAAACACATCTCTGTCTGTAACATTCTTAATTATTAATAAGATTATAATGGCTTATTACCATTTTCTCAATTCTCATTGAACACTATTTTCTATAGTATGAATGTCTCAAGGTCTAAACTCTTTGAATCAAATATAATTCTTTGATGTAGCCTTGACTCAATGAAATTTGGTCATTAAATCAACAGATATCTAATCAGAATTTATTATATTACAATTAACAGTTGTTGCATTTTTGTGACTCATTTCATATATCCAAACTCCCATCAAATGCCATGACAGCTCCTATTGTCTGATCAGCTTAACATTCATTTGTCTCTCTCATTAACATTGTCTATTCATTTGTCTCTCTCAAAAGTTAATAAGTGCTATTGACAGTCTCTGTTAGTTTCAAGGCCTGTTTGAGCAGAATAACCTGAATGGCAAATCTAAGTGCTTGGCTGATGATGTATCACTGTACAGTGTACTAATAAATCTAGTCTGCATGTGAGTGACACTTGAATATTAGAAAATTAATAACCTATCAACTCCAAACTTACCTTAGTTGATAGGTCAAATCAATATTACACCCGGCAGGACATTTTTATCACAAATAACACTGTTGAAAGAGGTACTTGGTATAGTTATAAGACTAAAGTACAGGTAAATATAACTTAACTCTGGAATTCTAGAATCTAGTTCAATGATGAAGTTATACGCCCTAACCATACTTGTTCAATAATGATCCATATATTTTTTATTTACTTCAAGTTCTCCTCATTAAAACTTCTATTTTAATAATGTTCAAATATGTATTTTGTAAACTTCTTGATTTTTACAAATATCTCTCTGGCTTGAAAACCAGATAAAAAATTAATGTGATCACTTTTTAGTTTAATTTTTACACTTGTGCCAGTCCAGCAGTGTTGACCAGGACCAATCTGATACTCATAGCATCTTTCTGTTTCACCTGAAACATCTCAGGGCTGCGAAGAAATGACATATCATGGTTTATCATGATGACCAGGACAGGTTTCAATGTAGTTTGAAATAAATACTGTACAGGTACTGGCAAACAGACAAGACACCATGTTGGAAATCTAGGGCAGAGATGTAACATGTTACAGTTACAAGGCACATGTATTTTATTACACATGTATATATGTATATACATGTACAGTACTCATATTTACACTTGCCAGATCAACAACATGTGATTTTTCATATTTTGATAATTAATACTTGAAAAGTTGTCCTATTTTAGATTGAAAATCAACTTCTAGGAAAAATGTCACCCATGCCTGGGGTCAGACTGTTGGGTACAAGATTATCTAACAGATTAGGGTGGATTATACATGTACAACATATATAATCACTAGTTCACTGCAGTTTAAAGGAAACCTGATAAGTTAAGATTTAATATTGTATTCTGGAATATGATATTTTTTGAATGGTTACATACTTATTTACTTTTTGGGAAACTACACTTTTATGTATAATATAGGATTATTCCAGTTTCGTTCAAATTACCTGTATAACATTCTCAACCCAATCACTGCTATCAGCAACTTTGGGGATTCAACCACAAAATTGACATGAAATAGATTTTTACAGTCTTGCTAAGGTAATGCTGTATGTTCAGATAGTGTAACTAATACTATGGCTCATTTTATTTTCTGGAACATATAACTCTATATACTTTGGTCTAAAATTTACAGATTTGTACAATAAATTCATAAACAAACCTCTATTGTTAGTTGAAGGTAAATTAATATTCTAGACATCTAAATCAGGAAAAAATTCAATGCCCTAAATTTTTTTGTATTTAAATTAGTAAGTCACTGAATTCTTTTTTAGAATCATATTATTCAAGTGATTTTGGGCCAAAATTGTCAAGTGTGAACCCCCCTGAAATTTTTTGTAAAGTTTATCAAGGTACATTCATGTACTCTACATGCAAAACTGAAAGATAAAGACAATATATAGAATGATTTTTATGTTCTGGAAATAAAAGCACAGAACTCCAATTAGGAAGCCATCAAAACATATGGAATTACCTTAACAAGTTAGAGGGTGCTTGAATAATTTGAAGAGGCTACTACCCATCTGAAAATCAATCTCTATAGTTTACATTAAAAAGGACAAAAAATCATGATAAATAGCCAAAACCCAATGGATCCGCTGTCGACCAAGAATGTGAAATGTGTGATCAATATGTATTTGTCACAGGTTAGGCTATACTTATTGTTTGACAGGTAAATCTGGAGTCAATCGATATACAAGTCCTGCCTTTGCTCTAGGTTTGCCAGATATAAATTAGTGATTGCAAATATTCATATGTGAGAGTCTGACAGAACTAAATTACATGTACACATGCTTATCGGAGACCAGTTGATAGATTTCACTCATCTCGAGACTTGTCACTCGATCAGACTCAGTCGATGACTGGCTGATGTCTTTCTGATTTGATGGCCTTGACAAAGTCAGCTTTGCGAAGTAAAATGACACAAACTTCTTATGTATGCAAAGACAATGAACATATTAATGCAACAATGGTTTTATAGGTGTAGAGTTACTTACCAACTGGTCCAGCCTGTACCTTTCCATTCAATCCTGAAACCTGTTGAAAAAGTCCAACTGTAAACATGGCCCAAATTAAAACATCCATAATTACTGCGTGTATCCGAACGAAAATAATAATCTATGTATTTACACATATGGCCATGATATTCAAAAGTCTGTTTTTATGTCTGTTTGTCAGTTTGATGTAAGATCCATTATGAATTGTTATACTTTACACGATGGTTGAATTTCAGTGATATTTTTTGACTAGATGGCTGGATGGCTGGATGACTCAAGATTCATGCTGTTCTATTTAGAAAACCAGCCCCTGTCACATTTTAAAGTTGATACATTTCAAAAACATTCCTGGATTTAAGATGTTTACCAAAAGTAGGAAACTAACTAAATTATAATTCAAATATTTTAAAAAGTTTGAACATTGATAAAACGTTTGTTATAGCTTATAATATATTTAAATGATTTGACAAATTTATAAGGAGGAAGTTTGCAAAGATCAACCAGCGCCTAAAGCAGATTTGGTACCACGTGATTGGTGGAAGTAGATCATGTGACTTGGACAAAATGGAGAATACAAGACCTGGTGAGTTGGCAGAAACATTTTTCATATTTCGTTGATTTTTAGTCATGTTTGCACTTTATGTGCTTACTTAACTTGTTTGATCTTCAGTAACATTTCCCCCGTCCTTGATCAATTAGTACTATCCGCGTAATGCAAACTAGAAGGACGATTTATTTAGTGAAATTCGAATTTGTGAATATTTGGAAATTCTATCCAAATTGTTATATATGTCTCTGACTTTCAGATTTGGATTTAGTCAGTGACCAGACTATCCAATTCCACAGGACCATGTTGCGAAAATCTAGACAATGTTGGAAATTATGGGCTTTCAGACAACAATGGTTAGGAAATGGTCATAGAAAATCTACCTGTCATTTATTTTTGTTCCAAACTTTATATACAGTGTTCAGCGCTGGCGCGAGTCAGGGAAATATGCGCAACGTTTGGTTTTTTCTTGGCTCGGTTTTATAATGGAATGATTCAAATTACTTTTCTGCGATCAGAAACAAATGTCCACAAATTTGAGGCCAATTGTTCTGTCAATACACTTGTTATCCCAACGAACAAAATTTGGTAGAAATATAACGAAGCCCTTCATCCGTCAGTCCGTCCATCAGTCATTCCGACTGGAATTTACTTCATAATCACCAGTTGACCCTAAAAAATAAGAAATCTAAAGATCATTGTGCAATAATATATATGGAAAAACGTATTCATACTGTACATGAATGACATTTGTATATCTTGGACTGCTTCTAAATTGGCTTATTAAGTCTGTAGCCTCTTATATTTTGATGCTTTTCTGCCGTGTTAATTCTGAAAAAAATTTGAAAATTAACATGGCTAATAGACCTCAAATTATAGGAGGGCACAGGCTTATTGCACTAACATGGGCGTAGCGCTATTTTTCTAAGTAGTACGCCACCACCACAGGAACAAGAGTTGAGTGATTAAAAACGAGCATTTAGGGGGGTCTGGGGGTTCTCCACCAGGAAAATTTTGAAATTTGGTTGTATTTGGAGCGAATTTGCAACCATCTGGTACGCCTGGTCTTGGTCAACGACACACTGCACCTTGTTACATCATTTTCTAGTTTATTTGATCTAATAAGCAACTGTAACAGACATTGTTACTTAGTTTTCCATTAATCAACTAATAACACTTGACAAACATTTTACAAAAAAAACACGAAATTGCAATTTGGGATCCCGGGAATTTAATTGACAATTTCGCAAAGATTAATTTTTGTTATTCTACCACAATCACGAAACTAAATCGTACACGGAAAATACTAGGAGTACAGTATTAGAAATTTCAATCCTTTTCCCACTTGGTGTTAATTGAGAAGTCCTCAAAATGAGTGCCCATAATTGCCTTTAGGGAAAAAACTTTCATACACCCCTCTTTCAAATAAACAATTAACACCCATGGGTCTATTTGGGAAAAACTCCGGTAAGAATAGGAGTTCTTAAAGAGGAAATTGGGTGTTCTCTTTGAATTTTTGTTGACTCCTCTATTAGACACTTTGCTGTAAATGATAAAACTTCATTTGAATTTCTTTCATTGCAGGAAATCATGAGAGGGGATGGAATGATCCCCCAATGTTCCTATACAATGCTCAGCTGCAGAGTGACTCAACAAAGACACCCAAGGGACGTACTCAGCTCAATAAGCGTGTAGCTTTCCCCGCAGATTACTCATCCCCAACTGTGCCCATGAGTCAGACTGGAGAGCCATCTAAAGGTATGATTGGTAAAATGAGTTCAATCAAGGTTTTATCTGTACATTGATTAGTTTTATGCTAATCATTCAGGCATTTACATCATTATTCATCAGTTCTGCTAATTTGTATAGCAAAAAGAACAAGTGATGGATATAACACAAAAAACATTATATTGATATTTATCACTGCTTTCCTTGGCTACAGAATACATGTCTATATATTTTTTATATTATATTTTCCAGGACCCCCTACAGGGAATGCATTAACTGGTGAAACTCCACCCCAAGGAAGCATCATGATCCTTCCCCCCACAACAACAACTGCTATATCCTCTCAACCATTACCTCTTCTTATCACCTCATTGGACAATAACCAAGATATAGCAAATGCTGTTCCATTGTCACCCCCTCCACATGAAACACACGAGGCTGCTCCATTCACTCCCCCTGAACAGGTGGCTCCAGTAGAGAATGTTACAAAGAGTGATTCTGAGAATCTAAGTGATGAGGAATTAAAGAGTAATACTTTAGAATTACTACATCAAGTCATCCAAAATGGAACTGATGCTATGGAGGTAATTACTAAAGCCATTTGTTTTGTTTTTCTTTCCATCAAATCTAACCCATTGGTTTTAAAATCCTATGGAAAAATCAATTGAAGTTGTTATGAAATCTGTTCAGAAGTTAGAATGAAGAAAAGATGGAAATATTAATGTAAAATAAATGTAAATACGGAAAACAACACCTATGACCTAAATTTAGAGAACTAACAGAAATAGGATTCTACATCCTTGTGATAGTTTTTTTGCATTCTCCTTCCCTTCTAGTTCCTTTTGTGACTGCATGTACAAGTATGTAATTGTATTATTTCTATTCATCTTTACAGAAAAGGGTAACAACTGATATTACAAAGAAGATATTAATCTTTGAAGATTTCTGGAAGAAAGATAAATTGTGCGATGATGTCAAGCTGAAAATGAACAAACTCGCAAAAGGTATGATCCTTAAAATGTAAATAAGACCTTATCTTTTGGCAGACTTCAGGACCCCATGTCCTATATATAATATTGCCATTTTATTGCCATCTGGCCTCATTTCCAGGATCGATGTCTAGTAGAAATGATTTTCCAAGCATATCTTGACAAATCGCTTCATCTAGAAAGCCCTTCCCTGAAATGACAACCCAGACTTCTTCACATGAAGTGTGATTTTGAGGTATATGAGGTGCATTTAGATTATTGTTCGACAAATGTTTTAATTTCTCGGAACATATCGTCTTTTGCTATTGAGTTCAGGGGGCATTGTTTCCCAGTTATACAGGTTTTACTGTAGGCATTTATTTTTGTTTCAGCTCTTGCTTTGGGTGAGTGTGATTTGGCCCATGACTTGCATCTTTCTCTCATGATGGACTACATCACAGAAGTAAGAACCATTCAGTTATTCTTTTTTTCCACCTATTTCACAATCAATTTCATTATTTAATCTTTGATTTCCATGGTCATCTGGTAACTGTTCTTAAAAACTGGACCTCTCTTCTTCAATACATGTACTAATTTTGAACGTTTCTGAATCTTTAATAACTTTTATTTTTGGTGATCAGATATCTGAATTTCATTTTTTCAGTTTTCAGTTGAAACAGTTAACATTGAACCAGACATGCTTTTGAAGATCAGTTCCAACAGTTAACTGTACTCACTATTTTTAGTATACTGCCATATTAAAATGGAGAAATTCATAAAGATTATCTAAGATGAAATTATTCACAATTTATTTTGCCAAAAGAAGCTTAGGTAAGTCCAAATGAGTTTTACTGACAAATCCTTTCTATTATTCCAGGTACGGCAATGGATGGTGGGGGTGAAACGTTTAATCCAAGAAGCAAGGACTTTCTCCAAGACCTTGCATGAGACATATATTACAGAGACATCTATTGATGATAATACAGTTAAAAAAGACAAACTGATTGTGACATCTGTAAATCCAGATGATACTAAAGTGACCACAGAGGAAAATACACTTGTCCCTGACCTACATGTGCCTCAAGAGGAACAATCTCCAGAGATAAAAGATCTGTCCCTGCAGGATGACAGTTTAAGTAAAGATATGGACTTAAAACCTGATCAACAAATGTCAGAGACTCATCCTGAAAGCACCAAATCATGACGTATAAATTCTAATAATATCTAAATTGTGCAATTTGAAGTTCTGAGGAATGAGCTATTGTATAGTGGAAAATCTAGTCGCTTTTAGAGAATTAAATTGAAATCCTAATAAATTGATGATCATTTTTGCATTTACTAATCAAAACAATGACATTTTTTGGTGGATATGAGCTTTGCACTCAAACAATTATATATTCATGTATTAACAGAATTCCTAGTGAATGAGGGATGCTGTCTTTGCAAGCAGGGACAGAGCTTGCACTGAAGAAATTAAAAGGAAGAGTGAAATGTTCAGATGTTAGAAGCAATCTTTTTAAAAATCATGCCATCTATTCCTTAGTCTAATTATTTGAAAAAAGAATTGAGATATCTCATCAAATAATGGACCTATCTTTTTTAATCTATATTTGATTGAAAAGTAAAAAAAAATTTAAGGAAGTATGATGAAATAATGGCATAACTGTTGGACTTTTTCGAAAATATGACGATGAGAGCAGACATTTTTCAAAGCTCTCATCTTGTTACCATTCCTTCTTCTCTCTTTAAATGTAACATTTCAAATAAATTATGAATAAATGTACTGAATCTGTTTAAAATAGGATACTGATGATAATCATGAGTGTAATCATCTTCTGAAATTAGCCTACCTACCAGTTGGTTTTTGTTGTTGATCAGTTCACTATACTGTAGTATAAAACTCTAACTCTAAAACTACTGCCACTATACATTCTATGCTTTGCATTGTTTGAAATAGCATTAAGATGGAGTTGATTAGTTTTTCTTAAATGTAGACTCTATATGTAGTAGAAGATATTTTAATGTTAAGATATTTGAAATGCAATAAAATCTGACCGTTTCATCAGAACAGCACTCAAAAATGTTCAGATTAGGAGGTGTTTACATTACAAAGTTTCTTTAGATGTGAATGATTGGGAGATGACAAAATTGGGACCTAGATATACACATTTCACTGTATTTTACCTGTAGAAGCATTTGCTCTTTTTTATTCTTGCCTCTAACACTGGCAGTGTGTATCTACATGTACTTACACATGTATAGGGATTGTTTAAGTGATAAATAAAAATGAATAAAACTTGGAAGATGAAAAACTGTTTATTCTACTGTTCACTCAATTATGTATTTGCAGATAAGAGATGAAAATTACAAATTAATTTTTTGATAAAATACAACCAGACAAGTTAGTAATGGAAATGGAAAAAATAAATGTTCCTAATCTATTTGAAAGCTTGAAAGAGCTGAGTGAGATAATGTTTAACATTTATTTATTTCCTTTAGCCTAAAATTGTCATGATCCACCATATTTGAGTCGAGGAAATCCACATGAAAGTCATATTTGAATAGTGTCTGTCCTAGTGTCCTGTGTCCTAGTTGTGAATTTGCAGTTTAACTTGAGTTTGATCCTTGCCTTCAAAACAGGTTATTAGTCTGTAATCCAAATCCACCTGTTGTATTTGTGTGCAGTGTTTATGATGAACCTGGTTTATCTCCATCTATTGTTTTACTGAATGTTTGTCTCTATGTATGCTTCAACCTCTGCTTTTACTGAAATAAAAGATGAAAATGCAAAAATATTGTGAATTTCGAATATAAAAAACCTATATTAGTTCTACTTGATGAATGTCAATGATGAAGCATACACTAACATAGGTTTAGGCCGAAATATGTCATCATTTAAGAATTTAAGAATTTGAGAAAATATGTAAAAGATAATGATTGCACTGCCATACATGTATATATTGATATATTATATCCATCACGCCTATCCTATTCTCTAAGGATTTACAATATTGGAATGTTTTAATTAATGATTCACAAATGTTCTCACTTGTTAATGTTTGCTTTATTATATAGAAAGAGAGGGATCAATCTTGTAAGTGACATTACAAGTGACAAAACAAATGACTAAACACAAGTAAATGACATGACCAAGTTTTGAGGAGTTTGATTATAATACAGATTGAGTAGAATCCACTGAGAATAATAATGATGAATACAGTAGTACAGACTAAGTTGAGATTAGAGATTTAGAGAAAGTAGAGATTGAGTAGAATTCACTGAGTGTAAAAATGAAACATTGTAGCAATTAAGACTTGGTGCAGATTAGAGACTTAGAGAAAGTAGAGATTGAGTAGAATTCACTGAGTGTAAAAATGAAACATTGTAGCAATTAAGACTTGGTGCAGATTAGAGACTTAGAGAAAGAAGAGATTGAGTAGAATTCACTGAATGTAAAAATAAAGCATTGTACAGTAGTAGAGACTAAGTGCAGATTAGAGATTTAGAGAAAGTAGAGATTGAGTAGAATTCACTGAGTGTAAAAATGAAACATTGTAGCAATTAAGACTTGGTGCAGATTAGAGACTTAGAGAAAGAAGAGATTGAGTAGAATTCACTGAATGTAAAAATAAAGCATTGTACAGTAGTACAGACTAAGTGCAGATTAGAGATTTAGAGAAAGTAGAGATTGAGTAGAATTCACTGAGTGTAAAAATGAAACATTGTAGCAATTAAGACTTGGTGCAGATTAGAGACTTAGAGAAAGAAGAGATTGAGTAGAATTCACTGAATGTAAAAATAAAGCATTGTACAGTAGTACAGACTAAGTGCAGATTAGAGATTTAGAGAAAGTAGAGATTGAGTAGAATTCACTGAGTGTAAAAATGAAACATTGTAGCAATTAAGACTTGGTGCAGATTAGAGACTTAGAGAAAGAAGAGATTGAGTAGAATTCACTGAATGTAAAAATAAAGCATTGTACAGTAGTACAGACTAAGTGCAGATTAGAGATTTAGAGAAAGTAGAGATTGAGTAGAATTCACTGAGTGTAAAAATGAAACATTGTAGCAATTAAGACTTGGTGCAGATTAGAGATTTAGAGAAAGTAGAGATTGAGTAGAATTCACTGAATGTAAAAATAAAGCATTGTACAGTAGTACAGACTAAGTGCAGATTAGAGACTTAGAGAAAGTAGAGATTGAGTAGAATTCACTGAGTGTAAAAATAAATCATTGTACAGTAGTAGAGACTAAGTGCAGATTAGAGATTTAGAGAAAGTAGAGATTGAGTAGAATTCACTGTATGTAAAAATGAAACATTGTAGCAATTAAGACTTGGTGCAGATTAGAGACTTAGAGAAAGAAGAGATTGAGTAGAATTCACTGAATGTAAAAATAAAGCATTGTACAGTAGTAGAGACTAAGTGCAGATTAGAGATTTAGAGAAAGTAGAGATTGAGTAGAATTCACTGAGTGTAAAAATGAAACATTGTAGCAATTAAGACTTGGTGCAGATTAGAGACTTAGAGAAAGAAGAGATTGAGTAGAATTCACTGAATGTAAAAATAAAGCATTGTACAGTAGTACAGACTAAGTGCAGATTAGAGATTTAGAGAAAGTAGAGATTGAGTAGAATTCACTGAGTGTAAAAATGAAACATTGTAGCAATTAAGACTTGGTGCAGATTAGAGACTTAGAGAAAGAAGAGATTGAGTAGAATTCACTGAATGTAAAAATAAAGCATTGTACAGTAGTACAGACTAAGTGCAGATTAGAGATTTAGAGAAAGTAGAGATTGAGTAGAATTCACTGAGTGTAAAAATGAAACATTGTAGCAATTAAGACTTGGTGCAGATTAGAGATTTAGAGAAAGTAGAGATTGAGTAGAATTCACTGAATGTAAAAATAAAGCATTGTACAGTAGTACAGACTAAGTGCAGATTAGAGACTTAGAGAAAGTAGAGATTGAGTAGAATTCACTGAGTGTAAAAATAAATCATTGTACAGTAGTAGAGACTAAGTGCAGATTAGAGATTTAGAGAAAGTAGAGATTGAGTAGAATTCACTGAATGTAAAAATAAATCATTGTACAGTAGTAGAGACCTAGTGCAGATTGGAGATTTAGAGAAAGTACAGATTGAGTAGAATTCACTGAGTGTAAAAATGAAACATTGTAGCAATTAAGACTTGGTGCAGATTAGAGACTTAGAGAAAGAAGAGATTGAGTAGAATCCACTGGATGTAAAAATGAAACATTGTAGCAAAGACTTTGTGCAGATTAGAGACTTAGAGAAAGAAGAGATTGAGTAAAATTCACTGAGTGTAAAAATGAAACATTGTAGCAATTAAGACTTGGTGCAGATTAGAGACTTAGAGAAAGTAGAGATTGAGTAGAATTCACTGAGTGTAAAAATGAAACATTGTAGCAATTAAGACTTGGTGCAGATTAGAGACTTAGAGAAAGTAGAGATTGAGTAGAATCCACTGGATGTAAAAATGAAACATTGTAGCAAAGACTTTGTGCAGATTAGAGACTTAGAGAAAGAAGAGATTGAGTAAAATTCACTGAGTGTAAAAATGAAACATTGTAGCAATTAAGACTTGGTGCAGATTAGAGACTTAGAGAAAGTAGAGATTGAGTAGAATCCACTGGATGTAAAAATGAAACATTGTAGCAAAGACTTTGTGCAGATTAGAGACTTAGAGAAAGAAGAGATTGAGTAGAATTCACTGAATGTAAAAATAAATCATTGTACAGTAGTAGAGACTAAGTGCAGATTAGAGATTTAGAGAAAGTAGAGATTGAGTAGAATTCACTGAATGTAAAAATAAATCATTGTACAGTAGTAGAGACCTAGTGCAGATTAGAGATTTAGAGAAAGTACAGATTGAGTAGAATTCACTGAGTGTAAAAATGAAACATTGTAGCAATTAAGACTTGGTGCAGATTAGAGACTTAGAGAAAGAAGAGATTGAGTAGAATTCACTGAATGTAAAAATAAATCATTGTACAGTAGTAGAGACTAAGTGCAGATTAGAGATTTAGAGAAAGTAGAGATTGAGTAGAATTCACTGAGTGTAAAAATGAAACATTGTAGCAATTAAGACTTGGTGCAGATTAGAGACTTAGAGAAAGAAGAGATTGAGTAGAATTCACTGAATGTAAAAATAAATCATTGTACAGTAGTAGAGACTTAGTGCAGATTAGAGACTTAGAGAAAGTAGAGATTGAGTAGAATTCACTGAGTGTAAAAATGAAACATTGTAGCAAAGACTTTGTGCAGATTAGAGACTTAGAGAAAGAAGAGATTGAGTAGAATTCACTGAATGTAAAAATAAAGCATTGTACAGTAGTACAGACTAAGTGCAGATTAGAGATTTAGAGAAAGTAGAGATTGAGTAGAATTCACTGAGTGTAAAAATGAAACATTGTAGCAATTAAGACTTGGTGCAGATTAGAGACTTAGAGAAAGAAGAGATTGAGTAGAATTCACTGAATGTAAAAATAAATCATTGTACAGTAGTAGAGACCTAGTGCAGATTAGAGATTTAGAGAAAGTAGAGATTGAGTAGAATCCACTGGATGTAAAAATGAAACATTGTAGCAAAGACTTTGTGCAGATTAGAGACTTAGAGAAAGAAGAGATTGAGTAAAATTCACTGAGTGTAAAAATGAAACATTGTAGCAATTAAGACTTGGTGCAGATTAGAGACTTAGAGAAAGTAGAGATTGAGTAGAATTCACTGAGTGTAAAAATGAAACATTGTAGCAATTAAGATTGGTGCAGATTAGAGACTTAGAGAAAGTAGAGATTGAGTAGAATCCACTGAATGAAACAGACTGAGTGGAGATTATACTGTTTCTCCCTTTCAGAGCACTTGTGTAATATATTATAATGGATTATATGGAACACTTACATTGTGGGTTATGGACAG